TTCAAAGTTTCTGAATAATTTGAAGGAAATTATGATCTCTGTACTCAGCTTAGATATGATTTTGCTGGTTTATATTTATATTCACCTCTGCTCAAGAGTGGCATTTCATACCAAAAAATCACATATTCAATATGAATGCTTAAAGATTAATAATGATCAGAAAAAAGGTTTCTATGTGACACTGGGACTTCCATCTGGGACATTTACTACTGTGTTCTGTAGACTGGAGAGGAATGGGTGTTTTATAACAGTTAACAACACTCCCATTATACAGATTTTGAAAGGCATACAATGAGTAAGGTGCTCAAATTCATAAGATTCCTATATAGCAGACTCACTCTTCCGGGTATATTTTCCATAGAAGCAATAGACAAACAATTTTTTCTGGATTTTTTGCATCATTTATTACTGAAATACAAGATTAACTGTGTTCCTCAGTATTTTTTAAAGCTTCTTTAATCTAACATTGATCTTTTTTACCTGCAGATCTCTGTCTTTGAGGAAAAAAACTCCACAAGAATCCACGCAAAGTAGAGCTACATCATGCTTCACATACATGTCATAAAAAGAAAATAAATCACAAACAGGCATATTCACGTATTTAACTCAAAAAGAAAGTCACTGCCACTGTAAAAACAGAAATCAAGCAGACAAAAGGAACTAGTCACCCTTCCATTAACAGAATATTTTTGCAAAAGCAGCATATTTTCTGCTTGGTGTTTTAAAGACTCATAATGTTCCATACAAATCCCAACGAAATTGGCTATTTTTTAGCAGAAACAGAGCCATCTGGTGGGTGGGGAAAAAAGCACACACACATAAAAACAAAAAATCCTCATCTTAATTATATGTTATATCATACGTGTATGTTCTGCTACTCTAACAAAAGATTAAATAAGTATATTACATTCATTGCTAAACAGAAATAGTACTCAATCCACAACATTTTAAAGGCTTTCAAAGATGTTTTTTTTCAGTAATTGTCTTAGACTTGCTTACACCTGATCTACCTGCAGCATATTTTAAACCAGAAAGCATGTCCTACTGTCATTACCTCAGTAATGGTCAGAAACTGAACTTCTGCCTGGTAAACACAGCTAAAAAGCTGCAGCATTCCTACGGTTCCTACATTTCTGTCCATAATTTGCCAGTAGATGTATTTTGGTCTGCTCTTTGTACAAACAATACATTTCAGTAATTCTGTTCAGCTACTTCTAACCATGTGCAAAGAGACTCCACAAATCAGGTATGTACAAAAAATACTACTTTTAAGTAATGACACGTATGGTAGCCACATGCAAAACAAAATTCGTATTTTCCCCTCTCTCAGTTCATGATGCCAGAAATAATATGCTCTTGCCATATAAGTGAATTTGGGTGTTAAGCTATTCACTTTAGACAAGTTCTAAAATGAAAATAATTAGCTTATTTTAACAGGGGCTCCAGCTTTCACCATCCAAACAGATCTTGAGATTACCTTATCATCGTCCTTCCTCTTCAAGATAGAGAAAACACAGTTTGCAGTCTTGGTTTTAAGACTAAAAAAAACACATACAACAACAAAAAGTTTAGAAGTTTAGTCTCAACTGTAATAGTTAATTACAGTCACTCTCTTGTAAGAATCCCTGGAATCTTACAGATTTGCTGAGTAGAGGCTCAAAAAAAGTTCTGGAGAATTCATTTGCACTAGACATACAGGACAATGTACTTAGGTTTTGCAGCTTACTTCTGTTTCACAGATGAATTAAAACTTTGGTTTTACTACAATTATTAGTAGGACAGCCTCATTTGCTCTGGGATATGTTTCTAAAAATAATCATGCTTGTTAGAAGATACAACTTTCAAAAAGTTTTAAATCAACCTTCTTTTGGACAATATTTGAAATTCTTAAAACCCATATCTGTGGTTGTTGACACAACCTTAAAGATATGAGTCCCTAAATTTGGCAGTCCAAGCATTCTAAACAGTAGTTCACAGAGCATGTACAAATCACGTAAGACTGTCAACTTCAGTTTGAAATGTTTTATCACTCTTAGCAAGAAAAGAACTAATATCAATATCAACCAGTGAGACATACACACAGTATTAGCTGCTAAGTGTTGTTTAATATGAGAAACAAGCTAATAGTTGTTTGTTTTGTTTTTTAAGAAAGAAACAGCAACAAAACCAATTAAAAAAAAAAAGGAATCAAAAAACACTGCTCAAGAACAGATACGTCTTCCCTTGCAAGAACACATACAGAAGTTACACATCATACAGTTAAGTGGACAAAGGCCACACTGAGGAGCATCTCACAGAAACACAGAATCATTCAAGTTTAAAGGGAACACTTGAGGTGATGTAGTCCAAACCCTCTGCTCAAGGAAGGTCAGCCAGAATATTCAGGACCATGTCCACTCAGGTTTTAAACACTTCCATGAATGGCAAACTCCACAAATTCCTGAGCAACTTGGTCCAATGTTTGACCACCTCCACAGTTAAAAAAGTTTTGTGTTCAGAGAAAATTTCAGATGTTTCCCTTTCTGTCTACAGCCTCTTGTCCATAGAGTTAGGAATTAATAATAACGGTCTGGTTTCCACCTCTTCAAGGCTCCAAACCCTTTGAGCCTGATCTTCTGCTAGCTAAAAAGAGCTTCCCCAGCTCTCTCAGTATGAATTACATTCCCACCCCTTAATCATCACTGTAGTCCTGCACCACAGCCCATCCACTAAGTCTGTAATAGACTTATTCTAGAGAGCCCAGAACTGGATCCAGCACTCCAGTTATGGTCTCATCAGCACTGAGTAAAGGGCAGGATCACCTCCCCTGACCTGCTGCCAGTGCTTTGCCCAATGCAGACCAAGACACTATTGGCCTTTTTTGCAGAAAGGGTGTATCACTGCCTTGTGGTCAGCTTGTACACCAGGAACCCAAGGGCTTCTCTGAAGAGCTGCTTTCCAGTTGGGAGTCACCTCCACATTACTAATTCCTGGGGCTATTTTTCCCTGATGCAGGCCTTTGTACTTCCCTGTTGAAATTCCTGTGAGGTTCCTGTTTGCCCATTTCTCAATCTTCTAAAGGTCCCTCTAGGAATGGTAGCAACCATACAGTCTATCAGTCATTTCTCTAAAACAAAATCTATCCCATCATTCAGGTGATTAAAGAAGAGGTTGAACTGCACTGGCCCCAGAATTGATCTGTGGGGTTCAGCAATAGTGACTTGACTCAAACTGGACTCTGCGCTTTGACATTCCAGGCACAGTCATGGGGGCAGCTTTTAATTCACCCCTCTCTGTCCAGACATAAGATACACTTGTCTGTGATGTTTACCTTTCCTTTGTAAAACCTCTGACACAACATCTACTTCCCTCCACTATCTACTGCTGTATTTATTAATTTAACATGGCTATGACACAAGGTAAATCAGTAAACTTCTATTTGGTCTGTCTTCTAGTCATCATGCTGCTACTCCTAAACTAGCAAGGGTAATCTTCAATAAGTCACAGGATAGGTTATTTAAAAATTACAACACCAACATGCTTCCTTCCTTCTCCACCCAAATAACCACTCCAGTGCAAGTAAAAGTGCTGGTAACTTCCTCAGAAGAGAAAGTTCTGGTTGCTCTGCCCCCAGATTTTGTAGTCTGTGCAACCACATTCTGCAGCAGAAAGTGTAAACTATGATCTCAGTCTAAGCAAGAGAAGCAAGTTTACCAGTTGAGCTACAATACTATATGTCTTTACTATGATTAAGTGATTTGCTATACCTCACACAAACCATTTCAGAGATGGAAAATGAAAATTTCAGAGTTTTAGGCTGAATTCCCAAACTTTAAAGAAGATCTCAATTTCATTCTTTCAAGTGATTTCACCAATCTTGCTCTGAGCCCATTTATCAGGAATGAATCACAGACCTTATCAGGAGACATTCAGCTATATGGAGCAAGCAAATTCTGCCCCTTTGCTCCTCTCCCTCAAGAGACCTCAAGTGTTGTGTTACAGGGTGTAGTTGATTCTGCTTTATTTCCTGGATAAAACATTTCCTGTAAATAAAATTATTTACAAATAGTTACAGAGGATCTTCTTGAGTTGCATACTTAATTAAACAGCTAATTCAACAACTACATTTAAAGAACTGATGAAGCATGAGCCATGTGCCATAATCCTTTGAAGCACTTGTTTAGAAGTCTTGGTAGATTCAATGAGTACAGTCCTTGTGACACAATGAAGAGGGCACTCACAGCTACATAAGAACGACATGCACAGCCAGTGCAACAAAAAGGAAGTGTTTATTAACAAAGTAAACCAAACACATGGGAAATCTGGCTCATTAAAAATTTCATGTCAACATTGAATGGTATTTCAGTAGCAGGCACTGTCTGGTAACAGCAGCTGACTTTTATATCACTTCTGTTGTGCTACACAAATACAGCTTTAATAACTACTTATGTCAAAAAGAACAACTAAAGCAATATTTTTCTACTACTGATTTTTCCATACACACTTGTTCTAGCTTTCAGCATTGTGCTTCTTGGAGTTGAGAAGCCTAGAACCCAGTCATTTGGAATTGACAGAGCATACACAGAAACTGTAAGAAAATAGGTTCTCTTCAAATTTTATAGAAACATTTTAAAAATGCTTAAATAAATCAGTGAAGAGCAACTTTCTGTATATATTCTAGATAGAAATGCAAACTTTCAAATTAAGCAATATTTGATTTTACAACCCAGCTAACCTATCGCAACTATTTATATTTTCCTACAATACTATACAGTGAACTCATGCCACTAAAATAACATGTAGAAATATTTTTAAAAATGGCCAAACTTTCATATTCCCAAGTGTTGCTACAGAAAAAAATCCCCAAAGGCACTAGCCCAGATTATGAGCACATTAAAATAAGTCCTTTTAGAACATAGATAGTTCCCTTTAATATACCAAGTCATTTGTTTTCTCCCACTACAGTTACAAATAGAGGTAAGTGGGGCTCAGTCAGCTTTTTTCCTTTTTTATGATCAGAATATGCAACTTGTTTCAATTAAGTTACACACTAGACTTTTTAAATTAAACTGCAAATAAAGTGTCATTTCTTTGCATATACACAATGGAATACTAAGCAATGTTTAGCAAATCAGCGAACACTACAGGTTCACAAATATTTTAAGCTGTTCAGATGTTTAATGTGATCTTTCATATTCAGTCAAGGGTGTACAAGAACTTTGGTACAACTGTTGTAAAAGTGCTTATTCTTATTGGTTTTTTTCAAAAGTCCCTGATTTGCTTATAGTTCATGTGTGTACAGCAGATACCATTTCTGCATCCTTTGGTGACAGTGCGTTATTCTGTGGTGGAGGCTTGTAGAAATACACTGCCAGGACCACAAAGATGATTGTGATGATTTTGCAGGCAGCACCTGAATGCAAAGAATAGAAGAGTCCTTATTGCATTCACCTTCAGTAGCAAAAAGTGTTTCAGTCATTTATAAAGTTTCACATGACGAGTTACACTGTAAGACTTTGAAAGGAACAGCATATTTAAATGTATTTTACATGAACTGCAAAGGGCAGGTAAAGGCAGTCCTCCAACTGAACTTCACCTGCCTGACAGTTTCTGCTTGCAGCAGCTGTTACCTTTGCTTCAGTTTCATATTTCTTCACCCCACTCTAGCCTGAAGTGGAAGTCTTATTCCTTCTTTCAGTACTATAATTCTCTTTACTAACAGTCTCTTTTCCACAGACTAGAACTTCCCACTTAAGTGTTCTCTCATCAGCTACCTTAAAAGGTGCCACAGAAGTGTTTGGGCAACCTGGGAGGCCAAGGGAAAGGGGAAAACAGGAGGCATTCTATTTTGTCATAAACATGCCTGGGAGATACTGAAATTTGGCCTTGTGACCATTGTTTTTGCAGTTTCAGGATTAGATGTTGGTACTTCAGTTTATGCACTGTAAGTACCTAGAAGACATGACAAGAACAGTTATCACAGATGTAAGCTTCGCCTGTCTTCTCTCCCACAGGCATACATAGCTCACATACTTGAAGGGAACAGATTGTTAAACAAGCTGGGAATTTTTTTTGACCAGTGTTCAGGGATAGTTACAAAAACTTTATATAATTTAGAGAAAAGAACTAAAATATGACAAGAGGAGGATAGCTCCTCAGACCTTAAGCTGTCAACACACCAAAACAGATAATTACAGAATGATTTGGGTTAGAAGGAAACCTAAAGATCATCTAGTTCCAACCACCCATTATGGGCAGAGACACCTTCCACTAGACCATATTGCTCAGAGCCCCATCCAGCTTGGCCTTGAACAGTTCCAGGGATCTGGCATCTACAACTTGTCTGGACAACCTGTTCCAGTGCCTGGAACCCTCTCTCAGTAAAGAGCTGCTTCCTAATATTTAACCCACCCTATGTGAGTTTAAATCCATTAACTGTTGTTCCATCACTCTACGACAAAGAGTCCCTCTCCATCTATTCTTGTAGGCTCCCCTTCAGGTACTGAAAGCCCACAATAAGGTCACTCTGGAGCCTTCTCTTTCCTAGGCTGACCAATCCCAATTCTCTTAGCCTCTTCTTTATAGGATGCTCCACCACTCTGATCATCTTTGTGTCCCTAATCACTTTTATGGCCCTAAAGCCAGACTGAGAGGTACGCCAATCCCTTAAAATTCAGTAAATAAAGTGTGACAATGAAGGAAAACTAAAGACCAAAACTCTTTTGTACTATTATTTAAAAATAATAGTATAACAGGACTACTTTTTCCAAGTAACTTTTAAAGAGTCACTTAACATCATCTTTCTCCTTGCACACTATTTTTCCTTTTATTATTTATGAAAAAAATTAAAAACACTGCTGCTAAAAATTAAAAGTGTAAGGGTCTGTTTTAAAATAATTCCCACCTAGCAGTCAGGATCAGTATATGTATTACCTTGCACATGTACTTAATATAAAGAAATTACTTACTCATGCCCATCAGCAGATAAACTACTCTTTCATTATCATATATCCAGCAGGCTCCTTTAGTTTCACATTCATCAATATCCCACAGCGTACAGCTGCTGTCTATAGAAACTCCAAACAAAATTGGCCCAGGAATAGTACCTAAAAAATACAGCAAAATGTTAGAATGTTTGTCCAGTCTTACCTTGGTCTTCATGCATACAGTGAAATGCCAAACTAGTGGGGAAGATAAAATGGGAGAACCAAACACTGACCATAACATTTTAAACAAAGTCGTAGGGCTTGTACTAAACAGCAGGTGTGCACCTAACATTGCTCTCAATTAACAGGTAGGGAGCATAGTGCCAGTTAATTCTTTACACAGCTCTCACTTCATCAAGCAAGCAGTTTTTTCAAAGACTTGAGTTTTTTAAAGCTTCCTCAGTTTTCACTGGAAAAAAATACAGTTATTAAATCAGGGGCAAAAGCAGCTAATCAAGGAAGTAGGATTTTAACTGAAAGTCTTCCTTCAGATTATATTCATTAACCTGTTCCAAATGCAGAGAATTAAAATACTATTATACTAGTAGTATGTCCTCACAAGGTCTTCTACCTAGAACCCCTGTGTGATTCCTCAAGTCTACAGCAACTGCTGGTAAATAATGCCCTTAGTTGCTGCAGTTCTTCAGTCATAGTACAAGCAGTGGAAAAAAAGTTTTATCACTCCACAGTGAGTCAAGACTAAAATAAATATCTTAACTTTGAGTAAAATGAAACAGAAGCCCTCATAACACTCAACACTATTTCCCAGCGAATTTTTACCTGTGAGGATGTTTGCTTTTATTATGTTGTATTAATAGAATGACTTAGATTAATTGAGGTTTCAACTGGTCGAGCTGGGCAGAACTCACACTTAGATATTTGATTTCAAAGGAGAAGGAATGGCTGTAGTACTAAATATTGACACAGAAGTCAAATCAGTAACTGTTTCTTGTCCCATTTAAATATGCCATTTAAAAACTGTCTATTACTAAAGCAAAAATTTAAAATACAAGAAAAATTCAAGTGAGTGTGGATCAGAATACACCTACATTTAGTTTTGTTTTACTTGAGGTGATGCATCTGTCTTACTGAGATGCTGAAGATGCTGAGAAGTGTTGTATTTCCCACATTAAAACTCAGTAATTACTTAAGTGTCTACAATTTCAATAAATGCCAAAATTAGTCAAAGGAATTTTAAAGGAAGGGAGAGGAGGGAAGACTCCTGCTATCCACTTTAAAATATGTTGGTATGGTCAATAAAAATACAACTATGTGACAGTCACTTTCTTTAAACTTCTGGATTTTCAGACGTTAACTACATGAAGCTGATTTCTATTACATCAGTTTCTTATCTCAACTTTCTTAATAGACCTTCTTCTGGTGAAAATTACAGCAGGTGCCTTTTGCTGAAAATTACAGTTACCTTTATCTGGTTTGTGCTGATAAGAACAAGGAAGGCTACAACGAGCACAAGTGCCCTATTTAACAAGGAATTTGAATCCAGATGGTACCTTACAACAAGTGTATCCTATAAGCCAATGACAGGCTGCTTCAAGCTCCTCTGAAAGCTTCTTAATGCATTATTTAAAAGTCTAGAAAAAAATGTCAAATAAGAAGATTATTCAGAGGCAAATGTTTCAACAAGAAAGTCATACCCAGTAGTCGTAGAAACACTAACTGTACTCCAAGAGCAAATGACCGCTGTTTATGTGGCACACACCTGTAAACAAGATTTGCAGTTTAAGGCACAGTAAACAAGTTTTAATTGTTTCATTTCTCTGCTGTGTCCCTCAGTGAATATGTTTCGGCTTAGAAATCCAGCCTGCAAAACAAGTAACAAAACTACTTCAAATGCTGTTTAGACATAAGACTGAGAAAACTTCCACTGCTCATCAAGAAATTTTAGATTTAACTAGTTTAACATACAGTATAAATAAAAAGGTAGTTCGCTACCAGCACCCTGATATACTATTGAACTTTTTTTCCACAGAACAACCAAGGAAATCAAAGAGTGCTAGGTTGTAATTCTGAGCTACAGTTTCTAAAGAAGCACTAAATGAATTGAGACCAGGCTTCAGCAGAGCACAACATACTGTATTCTCATAACCTTTGCATATAATTACCTGACTTTATAATTAAACCATTCTGGCTTATACTATAGAAATCTATATAGTGATTTAGTAAGTAGCAAAATTTACTTCCTTACCTCTTACTCATTTTCTTCAGATATTTTTCCAGGAACAAACATGTTTTCATGACAGTGTCCTAATGATACCACTATAAAGGCTAAATACAACCTAATTTGCTTAATTTATACAATTTAGTTTCAGAACTGTTTTCTTTAGTAAACTCTAACATGCCTTTTCTTTAATAAAATTTATCACTATTGGAAAATATCATATTTACACATTCAGAAGTTATTCCACATTCTGGAGTATGTATGAGGATTAGCCACATATCAAAACATCAAAGATGGGCAGGTACAGCAGTTAGCATTAGGACCCCAAAACCCAAAAGGCATCTAAGGAAAGGAGAATGAGCTTTACATCATGCAGGTCATTATATCTAGCACTAGAACACTGTCATGAGCATGTGAGTTTACATTTAAAGTTGCACACAATAGGCCAGCTGAAGGGATATCAGAATATACTGTAAAACTTACCTGACATTTAGCTATTTAAATTACGTTTTCAATATTTAAACTACTCTATAGTCGTTTCTTCCATAAAAACAATCTCACTATTTTAGCGGAAGTGCGTGAGGATTTAAATATCCAAATGCTGCTGCTTAGAATTATCAAAATAAGACTACGTCAGGTCATTTTAAAGATAATGCAACACTTCACATTATTCTGCCCCCACACTAAGGTGACAAGGTGTTAATTCCAAATTTACACCTATTCTGAACAGGAGGCTATTTCAAGACACTGTTGCAGTGTATCATTTACATCCTCAAGCCCCTGCCAAAGAGAATCTAGCCACAACTTCAATAAGCATCATGTGTATCTTGAATGTATGTCTAAGCATCATGGATATTTTCTCCCTAGAAGTATTAGAGGTACAAGTCAGACTTCATCATACAGGAAAACAACTCTACACCAGGAATGAGGACCACACTCTTAAAAGAAAGAAAAAAAAAACAACCACAATAATCTTTCATGTATTTTCAGGGGATTTGAAAAAGAGAGCCAAACCACTGATAAACATACATGTTATCACATTTTATATTTGTGAACACCATACATACAACATCAATATCATGAAAGGTAGTCTAGAGACTTTGATAGATTACAATTTTTCAAGACAGAACTCTGAATTGAGACAGGGAACAAAGGTTGAGAATACAAGACTGGTTGTTTTGTTCTTTTCTTGATACAATTTGAAGACCTGACACTACTGACACACAGGCTAGTCAAACATTTTCTTCATCCAAACACATGGCATATTTATTCCTTCTTGCTTTAACTAAGGCAGTCAAGAGTGCTCCCATAAGAAGGATTTTGATACAAACAGGCAAATTTTAATAGATTCAAACAATATCTACTAATCAAATGTAATTAGAGAGTGAACAGTGCTATAACTCTTCTCTTTCAAGTGTATTTAAACCAATGCACAAGGTATTTCCTTGTATTGAAGTGCACATTCCAAAGCAAAACCAAAATTACTTCACTGATCTGAGTTTTCACAAGAATGCTACCTGTCTTTCAGCCCAGAAAACGTACCTGAGAATGGCCACAGTTGTTGGAGTAACAGCCATAAAGGTAAAAACAACAGCAAAAAAGAAGATCGTCAAGAATAAAGGCAAAAATTTGCATTGTGTTGGACATTTCCCAGAGATAGCTTCAAAGAGAAAGTCTTCTGAACCATTTTCGCTTTTTGGTTCCCCAACACAGGAACAGTTTTGGTATATCTACAAATATATAAGACAAAATTTAGTTCCAAGTAAGACACAAAATGATACTATTTTGTTAAATATTCATTGGGTCTGCATCACACAACACAAGAATAAACCTTACTAAACCTGAAGCAAGTTTTTAGCTACAAGCATTAAAAAAAACCTTGAAACTAAAGATTTTAAAGTTATAGGCAGGGAGAGAGGTGAGCTCTACTCTTAAGACTTAAGCAGGAAAGAATAGAAGCAATATTGGACTGTTTTTGTTAGTAGGGGAACAATGGAACATGTACTTCTTTTAAATCTACATAAGTTTATTTACAAAAAAAAAAAAAAAACCAAAAAAAAAAAAAAAAAAAAAAAAAACATGTCAGTGAAGTGTGGAGTTTTCATAGCAAGGAGTAGTCAGTGTCCTACATTTTCTTATGGATAATACCTCCTCTCATTTACCACCATCCTTTTCTGATATAAAGAGTAGCCAGGGGGTTTCACATCTTTAGAATCTTCCTACACTCGTCCCACATCCCTGCTTAAGAAGTTTTTATACTAGTAAAGACAAGCATGGAAAGCCTCTGAGTTCTGGAAAGGCTTGATAACCAAGCCAATTTTATGGCTTACCATTCCTGCAGCAGGGGCAACTGACATTCTAAAAACCTCACAAAAGCAATATTAAACTCTAGTTTAATATCTAGCAGATAAGAACTCTAGGTAATGTCAAAACACCTGCTGATTGTCAAAAACTTTTCTGATTGTCAATTCTATTTAAAGTACATTTAGATTTAACTTATTTTCAGCATTAGAATGCCTAGTAGAAACAACATTTGCAAAATGACACCACCACACAAGTGAGAAACACTGCGACTGACCAATAAACCTCTACCAGGGAAGAAGCTCAGAGGAGATTGGAAAGAGGGATGTGTCCAGAAAGCTGACAGAACAAAGCAGGCTGTGAATGACTAGAGTTGTTGCAAAGAATACCATACAGAAAAGAAACAGCTGTGACAGCTGAGTCAATCAGCCAATGGTGTAAATGCTTCTCCCCGAGTTCATTAAGAGAGTGGGAAATGTTTCTCTAAATTAGCCAGACCAGCATGGGGTACTGGGAAGTGTGGCTCAGCCCAACATAAAGCATAAAAAGCCAGACAACTACCAGAAAAAAAAATCAGAGAGCAATAGGCTTGAGCTGGCTTCATACGCCTTCCCAACAACCAGGGAAGGCCAGCACTGTGACAGTGCACATGTTAGAGAGTAGCAACAGGAGTCACTCTGGTACCATAACTGAGCTGTGTACTGAGATTGCTGTATTTTGCTAAAGGTAACTTACATTTGTGTTGTGTTTTTAGCATATTTTTCATCACTCTGCTAAATCATAAATCCCATGTAACATCAACTGTCATCAAGTAAGTAAATTGGTATTAAACATTACACCTCTATAGGTGGAATGTCTAAGAGCACCTGGTCAGAGTGCATTGGACTGTGGCACATACAGTATTCATTTCACTTGAACTTTTAAGTTAAAAACAAAACAAAACAAACAAACAAACAAAAAACCCACAACAAACCACAACAGCTTTTCTTGTAGTGACTATCACTTAGATTCACAAATATTGCAATTTCCCGTCATACTAAGGGAAGGATGCTTTTGAAATACAATCCATTTTGCAGGAAACCAGAACAGAATAGACCACATCAGCTATATTCATTGCATAAAGTACCTTTGTCATGTTGCTATCAACAAGATATGATTTGCATCCTGCAAAACACGGAGAAAAGTATTGAACTCGATCCCTGCCACACACTGGGTAGTACATAGAGCGCAAACATCCACAGTTAGCGTTGCATGGTGCTGTTAAGTTATGCAGCGTGCCTGTTCTGAAAGGTAGAAGTTAACAGGCTTTTAATAAAGTAATTGAAAAACAGAGGATATGTATATAAGTACTGCAGGATTTACAGCATAATAAAACTCAAAGTATTCAAGTCAGGTTAATGATGCACTTGATTATTTTAAAAGAAATTACGTTCGTAGTAGCTACATCTCTAGAGGGAATTTCCACTTATTGTGCCCCTAGTTGTTTTTATGCTATTATTACTTTATAGATTATCCCTCTATTTTCCATTCACAAAACAGATCACAAAATTCTGCATATCTGTCCAATTCTTATACCATCTTCTCACTCTCACACACTTGGGTAATTGAATTTCTTCATTTTACAATTTTAAGAAAAAAAAACAATATTAAAAACACTATTTAGTGTTATTCTACTGGTCATATTCCCAAGTTTCTCCCTGTTTTTTATTCAAGTCCAGTTGCAAACCCACTGCATTTTTACTATTTTTAACACTGCTATGCAGACATCTGAATTGCACAAGCACCAAGACAACTGCACATGCTAAATGCAGAGTCCAATGACATAGAAAGTCTTACCACACCCTAAAGACCTGAAACATTTTTTTCTGGCTGTTTGGGGAATAACTAATGAATAACAGGGCTAAATTAAACTCTTGCTTACTACATCTATTCTCATTTTAGGCATTCACTTCCAGTATAGGCTACAGTCTACTTGTATTTGAAGTAGTCCCACTACATTAATAGTATGAAAAATCAGTTTGGGATGTGTGAGGATTGCCTGGAGGTGCAACTGGAAACAATAAAAATACCCTTTGATTTTCTAATAGCAGTTCTTTAATAAGAAGATTAACAACTTCAGAGTTTAATCACCTAAACCTAGGAGTCTGACACCGTCAGTAGTTTCAATATTGTACTGTAAAATGAAAGTTGCACATTCATTACCTAAAAGCAGGTTTCTCTATAAGAATTTGAGATCATAAAAATACTAGCAAGAGAAATAATTTATCTAGGAATAAAGCTGAAAACTTATATGAAATCAAACTGCAAATGGAATATTAGGGATATCGTAACTATATACAGAATCCATTTGGTTGTAGTACAGTGATATCCTTCTAAATTACATTAGTGCTTTAAGCCTAAGCTAACTAACTTTGATTCTTCTATGTATGAAGAATGAACTACAGTGCATCATAAGCAAACTCACTAATTACAAATTTGTTCCTACAGTGCCTTGTTAGCCTGTGAGGCATGCAAAGCCTAGCAAGATTCAATCAATTAAGTGTACAGACAATGCCTCTCTTCCCTGACCTTCAAAGAGGAATCGAACATTTAGGTATGAATGGTCAGAGAAAAACACTGGAGAAAGATACCTCTGCTTTTCTAAAGCCTAGCCGATGAGGACATTAAATGCTCTTTAAAAACTCTATAGGTTGGGTGTCTTTCACAGAAAAACAAGGAATCCCAGAGACACGTGGAAATGAATAGAACTATAGAAATGGTTATTGCATTTCTCTTCTTTTAAGTTTTCAATGAAATATTGGGCAACCAAATCTGGCAAAAACAATTCTTTTGAAGTGCTTGTTAAGACAAAATAAACTATGCTAGTTCTGCTGATAGCCTAATTTAGTAATGAACAGTGTTACTACAAAATATATACTATTTTCACTAACACACATACTTAGAAGTGAACCTGTACTGGTACGGTTCTAGAACTAAGCCTACGAAAGCTTTCCTCACTTGTCCATGCTATTTTTCTGTAGAAAGAGAATGCTTGTGATGAAGGATGTCTTTAAATTCTCCACAGAAATTAATCTGATTAAGTTTCCAAGTCAGCCCTCAGAGCAGTTTCATAATTTATTCTTTCAGAAGCATTTATTTAGTAGCATAAGCAGGAGTCAGACACTTGGCTATACTTATAAAAATTTTTTTCAGCTACCACTGCATATTTTAGTTGCTAAATCCCTCATGGAAAACAGTTGCAGAAGTGGCACTGTATTAGCACCACTAACTATTCTGATGCATGTCACATGTCCTATGAAGTATAGTTCAACATTTAATATTAAATTAACTAAAACAAAACCATTTTTTATAATGGGTACCAAGAGAAGAGAGTTATTTGGACTGGTTAACTCCAAACTGCTGTAGATAACCAGTCTTCAGCAAGAGTTAATATACATAACTGACAAAGTGATGCAAAACTTGAATACAAGTTAACTGTATTTAACTTTAGACGAAAATTAGTTCAGCTGTACCTTTTGTCAGCTGCTCGTTATCATACAACCTGGTATAAAAATATAAATAACTTCATGTACTATTTTCTAGACCACCTCTTCAGTATTCAGTTGATGAATACAGATTCTTTTGCTCAGTATGTAACTATAAGCTTTCTAAAACCAGAGTCTGAATTCTGTTTTTCACAGTCCTGAATTGTTAAAGTCATCTTTCTGCCAGAAATTTTTCTAACACTGAAGCAGAGCCGTATTTTATGCATCAGATTTCAACACTGGCCTTTAAATATACTGTCAATTTTTACAGCACGTTGTAAAGACCAAATCTGAATGAGTGATAAGTTTCTTTTTCTTTCAGTCACCAATGCATGAAACTTTGTTTATTCATTTTGCATGCCTTCTGGAAAAGGAAATACCTTAATAATTAATATGTATCATGAGATTACATTTCTACTTTCTACCACTTTCTACCACATGTGCATTAGAGGCTACAAACGCGACTCTCCTAGGCCCATCTTCTGCATTTTCATGGTGCACTTCATGCTGTTGTGTCAGTAAAGCACAACATACCTCTTGCCCACCCTATTTAGGTTTGAATGATTTTTTTGCAGTGGAGGAGAACTTTCAGATTATGCTTTTGTAAAAGATAATGGCACCTAACCCTTGTCTAAAATGGGAGACTTGGAGAAAACAATACAAAGGTATAGGTAAGTTATTCAGCTCATTATTATGATTTTTTTCAAGTGGTAGCTACCAGCCCCTAGGTATCAGCCTTGCAGAGTTATTATTTTGCACAGCACCATCTGGCTCTTTGGCAAACCCTCAAACAGCTGGAGTTGCCTCTGGCTCTGTTAATTAATGACAGAGTAACCAACCACTTGAGAGCAGAGTTTTGGAACAGCCAACTGCCTCCCTCCTGCTTTTAAACAATGCCTGTGCTACAGAAGGTTTTACTACTTAGAACTATAAGAATTGAAATATTATGATCTTCTACTTATTTCTTTAATAAAGCGTGATTGGGCATTTTCTACAATATGGTGTCTACAGTGGTGATTTTAATCACATTCACTTATTGATTTTTTCAAGTATGGACCTAAAAATTCAGTCTTAAAAGAAAGTTTATCCTTGCAAACATTTCTTTTAAATTTTGTTTCATCTTACTTTCACTTTTCTGACTTCTTTTCCTTCAGTGCTCTACTGGTTTCCAGAGTAAGCTTTGTTCACAGCAACAAGAAGAATTTATCCTAGAATTACTACAAATATCTAAAATGAGTGATAGACTACATTCTCACTAGGAAGGAGAATTTTGTTTAAGGGAAAGTACATCAAGTTTAGAGAATTCTTTCATATACATGTTAGCCAAAAATATTTTCAACTATGTTTCAGTTAAACATGTTACTCCACCAGTTTTGTTCTTCTTAAACTTTGTCACTGAGCTATTTCCTCTTTGCATTGTTTCTACCTCTATCAGCCAGGGAAAAAGAAAAAAAAAAAAAAAAGAAAAGAGACGCCTTTGTACAAGGAGGCCCAGTGGTCTAGAACCTGATGCTACAATAATGTCTTTGCTCTCCTAGTGAACATCTTGCAATCAGTGTAAACTGCAGGGCACTTCCATGCAGTTTCACAAAATTGACAACTCCTTCCAGGAACAAACTGTTCACACTATCCAGAAATGAAACAAGATTATCCATTACATGAAACAAGATACAAAATACCATACTTCTACAGCAATACAAAATTACCTATAGTCAATACTGTGAGCTTATCACACCTAAAATGGTTACAGAAGCTGAAATTTGTGTCAAGCAGGGCTTGACTGCTCAGAACATTTTGCAGGTAAGGCATCCACACCTTCTCTTATAACCTATTACGTGAAGATGCCAAAACAAAGCTTTATAAAGTTCCTGTCGTGGTTTTGCCCACCAGCCCATCCCTGGGGCTGAGGATGGTTTTGTCCAGGTAATTTCTGGACAAAAAGGCCAATCAAAAGTCCAGTGACGCCTTTGCTAATTACATCTTCAAGAAAAGGGAAGAGAAGGTTTGTTGGTGCAGCTGAAATTAGAGGCAGCAGCCACGTAGGGGAGAGGAGTAGCAGACCCGAGCAGGGCCAGACTCCCTCTTCCCCCGGCTTGGGCCGGGGTGAGGGGAGCAGGTGTAGCACTGAAGTCCTCCCTTCTCTCTTGTAAGAGAGTGAAGAAAAAAAAAAGTTTAAAAGACGAACTGCTTGGACAGAAACTGCTGTGGAACAATTCCAGCGAAGAGATAAGGGATCTCCAAGGTCAAAACTAGCAGCTGGAGGAGAGAGAAGAAAAGTTTGAAGGGGGGAGAGCTGCTTCTTCCCCCTTTCGCTCGCTCTCTCTTCAGCAGGGAAAAGACTGAAAAGTAAACCCTGCTACTTGTAAAAGTTTGTTGGAGTAAGGAGACCCCCCACGCAGCTGATAGAGGAGTCTGTGGATGTACCAAAGAGAACCGAGACTTCATGAGAAGGACTGAAGTGAGGCAGAGTCCTGGTGGACATTTGTGACCCTGAGGGAAACCTGTGCTGGAGCAGTGACGACTCAGGTGGGATACTGGGATCCGTGTGTGTGTGGATCCATACTGCTGTTGAAGATTTTGTGATCCTGAGAAATCTCATGCTGGAGCGAGACGGCCCAAGTGAGATGTTGGGATCCCTGTGTGTATGGATCCATGCTAGACCCATGCTGAGAAGTCTATCAAGGACTGTTCTCCCATGGGGAGGGACCTCCATAGGGAAACAGGGGTGAACTCTTCAGCCATTATCCCCTGTAACCCTGTGGAAGAAGATCCATAGAAGATCCATTGCAAGCCTATGGAAGGAAGACCCTTCGGGACCTGGGTAACGCCCAGCCTTCGGTCTTAGCCCAGGAGGGGAGTAAGCCCAGCCCTGGAAGCCAACACAGAGCAAGAAAGAGAGAAAAAAAGTTCCAACTGCAACGAGAATACTGCTGCTACTGAAGATGCATTACTAGAGAGAGAGAGCTGGAACTCCGAAAATAGAGAATGAGACTACTTCTCCTTGGACTAGTATAAAAGGGGAAGAAGTATTTCTGTAAATATATAGCACTTCAACTTGAATAGAAATTGTTGTAGATATAGTTCTTTAGTTTTTAATTTATTAGTAGTTTTTGTTTTACTAGTAATAAATGTTTATACTATTTGCCCCAAACCCTGTCTCTCTTTTGTCTGCAAAAACCTTCTCTCAACTAGTAGTAATTGTGTGGGGAGTGGAAAGCAAATTGACCCAAAACAAAACCACGACAGTTCCATAAAACACTTCAGATTCATACAAGCAAAAGAAGCAAAATATGACATTTTAATAGGACTTGTATTCTAAAATGTAAACTTTTTATTTTAAACATTAATGCCAAACCAAATAGTGCATTAAAATATATTTACCCATTATATGTTTCAGAAACACCTGCGAAAGGTTCATTCCTGCATTTGGCAAATAAAAACACTGTGTTTAATAGCAGGGCCACTGAACAAGTGCTTATCATGAACTTGATTATGCTTCTCAAATTCATTTTGCACTTGGAAACCAAGATGCCACTTATGACTTGGCCTAGTACTGCTGCTGGAACTAACACAAGTCCTGGAGGAAAACAAGACACAAAAATGCAAGATATAACTGTGAGGCAATTAAAAGTGCAATTTTATAAGAAAAAAAAAAAAACCAGTTACCTGTAAAATGCAATCCACATGGTGTCACTGTCAAACTATACTAACAGAATCTGATTGCATGAGTCATTTATTCTACCCTTACATGACCTTTAGCCTTTCCAGAGCTTACATTGACAGTATACTTTACAGCTGTCCAAAACCTGACTTCAGCACAGTCAAACTAGTAGTATTACATATTGGGCAGGAATCTCTGAACACCAGTAGGCCTTTTCACTTCATGAAAATACTGAAGCAATGAAAGGGCATTTTGTGTCTTTTTTCACATGTCCATGTTCTTTGTCATACATGTGTAATAAACTTGTTAGCAAAAGAACATAACTACTATTATACAAGAGACAGTACAAAATGCAATGAGGCATCTACTGAAAGATTTAAAAAAATCTAGGTCAGTGAGCCAGTTTTGCTGTTTGAGGCTAAGTTGTCCACAATGATTTATCCTCTTTGCTCTATTAGTACTCCAGATAAATAACTGAGCATTTCTACATCACTAATCTACAAAACAACACAGAACTCAGTATAACTTGCACTGACCCGAGACAGCTAACTTCAAAGACAGTTCAAATACAGTTGCAGAACTGCACAGGTCACAATCAATCCCAGTCAAAGGTAGTTTTAGTAGTTTTCATGGTCATTGGTAACAGGCTAGCTAGCTCAGTTCAGGTACAGACAGCTTTCAACATTAGTGTAGCCATTTCTTTAAAGCTATGCCTTTAATCATCATCAATAAGCACTATTAATATTTTTGACTCAAAGACATTCAAACAAGGTCTATGGACATAAAAAGCAACACTCATTTTTCTGCTTCACTCCTGGTTATTGTTTAACAAATGAGCATATATTCCAATCTATTTCTATGTAAAATCCGAACATACTATTCCTGGCTTCAAATCAAAGTGACAGTACTATATCTAGTATTGTTCAGAGCAGTAAGTCAGTCAGTCAGAAAGTCTCTCCCAAACATTTTTGTTGGAGAATGAGCAGCTCTACCTTATCCTTATATTGCAGCACTCCACAGCTTGGCAAGACGTGTTCTAGAAGCACTGAGTCTACCATAATGCAAGCATCTGTGGGCTATTATGGATATTTCTGCCTTGATCTGGTTGCAGTTCTTGGGAAGTCATCGTGTCAGAGTTAATCATGTAACCATACTGAGTACAGCTCTTCCACCCAATTTTTCTGTTTCTCTAAAACTCAACTTTTCATAGAATTCTACCTATTACTTTTGTATATCAGGTAATAGGAATAAGTGACAGCAAGCCAACTACAGAAACTGTTACACAGTTGTTTTATGAAATATCCTGATTAGTCATTTTATTGTTAACTACCTCACTGTAACATTATTGCAGAATTGAAAAAAGAAGGGTAAAGCTAATGCTACTTCAGCTGATTTTAAGTAAGGAAAATTAAACGTTTTTCACCAAGCATAAGAAAGGAATAAACTACAATCTCATCAGCACACAAATTTCTCATTCTACTTCCAATATGAGATTCGACAGTCTTCAAAAAAACCTACAGACAAGTAGGTTTGCACCCCTGATGAATTAAGTATAATTTAATACTTATTAATCTACAAGTTAAAACTTAAGTTTTCACAATGCAGGCAACAAAAACAAAAACACTCTTTACGATGTGAAAACTGCATTCCATGTAATTACATTTACAAATATCTCAGGCAAACATGATACCCATATAATCTTCCACCATGTTAATGAGGTGTTCAATACAATTTATCTAAGACTTGTAAGTAAAAAGCCACATTACCTCCAAGAGTTGCTGAAAAACTCGACGTCTTTCCAAACTGATTTTCTATAAACTTCGGTAGAAATGTGGCAAATCCAGTGGTAACTAAAGCTTCTGAAGAACTGGCTATTATTAGACACATAAGCACTGGATTCCTCAACAGTATCTATGGAGAGAAATTATCATAATGCTCTGGAAATCATTTGATTTTGGTACCAACTAAAATAGAAGTCACTATATTTTAAAGTAGATAGTCTAAGCAGAACTTCAGTAATATGCTTTTCTGCTTTAACAACCTCAAGTATCAACAAAATTAATATTCATTGAATTATCAGTAGCATTAGAGACGTCTATCACAACACTTTAATAAAGAAGCAATTACCTTTTTAAAGATCTATAGATTACATGAGAAAGAATTTCATTCCTCAGAATATACCATTCTTAGCAAATTTCAGATTTTTCTTACCAGAAGAGATACAGGAAAGTCTTTAAAATTTTTTCCAATATTCTTTATCCGAACCAGGGCTTCACTTCCATCATCATGAGTTTCAGAGACTTTTTCAGCCTGTATTTTTGCTGTTCCTACAAAAAGTCATTTTTATCGACAATGAAAACACTGAATACCTGTGCTCATAGACTTAATGTCAAAAAGGCAGAAAAAATAATGTTTCCTTTACTTGGAAAAAGTAGTTCAGATATTGCAGGTCTTTTAGAGTGTTTTACTCGTAGAGATTTATAAAAAGATCAATAATAAATTGAAAGGAGAATTTTGTTGAAAGCATCATGCTTCCACTGGAATATCCTGGTTGCAATAAGATATTATCAGGAATATCTTAAAATCTTCGGAGTATGCTGAAGCCCACCCAATTTTTTTTTTTTTTTTAATCATCCTCACTTTCTTCCCAGGTACCTACTTCATTGTTTCTTTCCTCCCTTATTTCTCTTTCAATATTAGTATACTAAGTTCCTTTGGATGCCCTTCTAACGGACTCCTAGATACTATCTACCTGAAGAGAGATTATATTCTAAGTATCTCTCTAGAAGACTGCTCAGGAATATTTTGATTCATGCTTTATTATTCCATCCAAACTAATAAAAACAGAGTAAAAGACAACAGTGCATGAGTTAAGTCAATAGAGTTTCCACATTATTCTTGGTGGGTAACCCAGCAGCTTGAAATGTAGTTCTGGGTGCTTAGATGGAAGCATCTTCCAAAATTTGACCATCAGTTTCCACATTCAGGTACCTGTTTCCAGTTTTACTGAAAAAGAACCATGGAATCCTGGAATGGTTTGGGTTGAATGGGACCTCAAAGCTCATCTAGTTCCAAATCCCTGGCCATGGGCAGAGACACCACAACAAGATCATCCTTCTAGTCCATTTGCCTTATTTTAAAGGCTACATATTGGGGGGAAAAAAAAAAGTATTTAGCAGATTTTAGCCAAAGATAGTTAACCAAGAAATGGAATCAAAGAGGAAACACCCAGTCCAGCGGTCTACAACCCATAAATATAAACAAATTGCTCTTCCAAACTAACACACTATTGCTAAACCTTTACCTGGGAGGTGCTTTGGAAACATTGAAAAAGGTATTATAAGAAGCCAAATTGCAAAAAAGCATGCAAGAAATCCTATCCACCATGCTCCAAGCCAACGTGGGTCATCTTGATCCACCTTTGTACTGGAAAAACAATTCAGAAAAAGCAGGTTTATCATTCTGAATTTCAATCAGCAATTTCAGATGTCATGAGCTGGAATACTTATTCTTAAAACCAATTTAACAGAAAGCCTTTTAATATCATTTTCTTGTTTTCTACATCTATTAAATTTTTTGTTTGCTTTTGTGTACATTCACAGGGTCTATTATAAAAATATTGCATTCTACCAAATATAGGTTTCATCTCATTAGTAAATGTCATTCTGATTTAAAGTCTACTCTTTGGCCCTGACTTCAAGATCTTGAAGCATTATTATGATACTGAAAAAGCTGGGTTTTGAAAGAATCTTCATAATCAACAAGTTATGTCAAAGCCAATCTGAAGTTCAAAACGCCATTGTATTGATCTGAAGGCCCTAAAACACAGGAAATAAAAACCTAAATGAAGTTGTTGGCTTGGACAGTAGTAAAATTTATAGCATTTTTTTAATAGTAGGCTATTACTCAACTGTTAGATTTTTCTCACAAGCTCTTCTCCAGGAGTTAAGCAGCAGCATCCTACCCATCACATTGCAATTGAGGGAAACTTTTGCACAAGAAATCAATAGCTGCAGTTTAACTCTAAACAAGCAAGTAAACAGAAGACAAAGCATTTTTTTTTACTTGGTTTAAAATAGCTACTATCTAAAAAGCTAGAACTAAATATTTGCACTATGAAGAAACTTGCACGCATAATGGAATTACACTTCCCACTGTGGGAAGTAATTCACTTAAAGCCTTTATGAGTGCAACTTCCTTACAAGTTAATAAAGCTCTTGCAAATACAGTATTTTCTCAAAATACCCAACTTTCTCCTCACAGGGAGAAAAGCTGAAGATTTCAATAAAAAATATTAGAAAACAAAAATAGAAAGCAATAAACTAAGTTGTATCTTACCTTTCTGGGATCTGGATATCAATATAAACATTAAGCAGCTGCCCTCCTGCAACATATCCAATAGCAGGACCCAGCAGAGACATGGCATAGGCAATTCCTAGAAGAGAAAATACATTGAGTCTGCCATAACTTCTTTTTTTCAAGCTTTCTTTTAATAAAATTCGTAAATCAACTTCAGATGACATTTCTGTAATTCAACGAGTTCTTTTTACTCTCATTACTTCTACTGCAGCATGCAGAAGACAAAAATTTATACTTGTGCCTCAACAAGGAAACTTGCAGCTCTCTTTAAAAGCCGCAACTTAGAGCTTCAGCAAAAAACGTCTCATTAACTTCATCCTTAAGCACTATTAGACTGCCATTTGCACCTACCTTTTGTGCCTACATTCAAAAGCTAGATTGGGAAAAGGTTTAAATGAAAGTAGGGGCACCAGATGTTAACAGCACATGACCAAAATCTTGAAGAATCTAGTTATTTGTATATTTCAGTCTTAAGTATTTTACATCTTTCAAGACTAGAAGACAGGGTTCCATTAAAATGTCTGACTGGAGTAATATCTGCCTTAAAACACAAAGCCAAGGCTCTTGACAGCTCCTGACAGTACTAAAAAAACCAAACCAAACAAACAAACCAACACACAAATACCAACAACAACAGCAACACATACCAACAAAATTCAGACACATCATCAAAAAATTTAAAAAGCCAAAAAATAAACCAAGCCACCAAACAAAACCAAACCCCAACCTGCAAAATAGTAGGTGTAATCATATCCTGCTAAAAAGTACAAGATCTTGTCAATATCACAGATTTCTGTGGCAGTTTAGCACTCACTGCTATCAGGAGCACTCTGCAGATTAAGGCTTGCAACTAACAGAAACAGATCTGAAATAACTAGTAAACATGCATTCTTACTGCTGATATTCTATGCTGTTTCCCCAGGTTGAAGAATCTGGATTTCTGATGTTTCCAAAGTGTCTGGATCCTGAGTACTTAGTATTAATTTCACTCTAGTTAGACAGCAAGAGGAAATTATGGGGGAAGCAGGAAGGTGAGAAGGGTACAAGAGGGGAAAGCAATGCAAAAGGTTACGCTCAAGTCAAAATAAATACTGAGTAAACATATCCCAGGTTTTTCTGTGTTTTGGAAATAGTGACATGCCCATCAGAACTTTCTGTAGGATAAATGTGAACTTAACTCAGAATTTCAAACCAAGCTTAAAAGATGCCTATTTCCTCCTATACATCACTCAGTTTAAATACCATTTGGAATTGCTTAACTTTTCAGTGGCTTCAGTTGTTGATGTTCCAGTTTAGCAAGAGCAGAACAGTCTGCACAAAAATGTGCCCAGTTTAGAAGAGAAAGAAAATACCAACTTTTGAGTTGCAAGTCTATAGTCAAAAGACACTATCAGCTATTTAAAGAAAGTTTTAGTGGGTTCTTTGTTTGTTTTTTGTTGCCTTGTATAAGCCTCATTGCATTAGGCAAGGCAACACAATATACTTTAAACCCTTAATGCACTGCATAAAAGCAAGAAAAAATTAAGGCTTAAGGTAGCTACCTGCACACTCACATTCCAATTTTATTATATTAGGCAGAATACACTGCTCTTCCTAACTCAACAGATGCCTGAAGATTGTTCATACATTAGTTTATTATATTGGTCTTTTTTAGTATGAACACTGAGATAACTCTCCTGAGATTTCAAGTCAGTTCTTAATCCCCCAATCATGCAGACAGGCCTAATTCTGCTTTATTTATTTCATTGGCTTCAAGGGCAGGGATGGGGGGGAGGGAAATGAAGAAAAAGTATAATAGCAGCAAATAGCAGTATAATTTTGGTTTTGTTATTTTAGATATATCATATGCAACTATTGTATTTGTTGGCATCAAAAGAAGTGGCTTGTCTGGAACAAACGTGAAAGAATTGTATGCAAATGGCTGATAATTTCAATTTTGCCCTATAAAATCTCACCTGGAAACCAGTTCAGGAATCTGAGGTGCCTCGAATTTATCCTGAAAGTTACCAGTATAGCTAAAATGCTTCTATCAGCTTACACACAAAATGGGGGAAACAAGTAACTTTAAACCCACAGAAAACACACTTAGACTACAGTGAACTTGGCAGTAAAAATGTACATCACCCAGAGAATGATGACTGAAAAAAGTTAAAAACTATTGCTAAGAATTAAATGTTCCTTAGCTTTTCAACAGCCCCAGTAAAGCATTACCATTGCCTTGAATGAAGGAAAGATGCCTCCAGCATGTCCTCCTGAAGTGCCAGATTTGTACATGCCTAGAGAACTGCACTGATCACATAGTGCACAGCAGTATCTCTGCACTGAGTTGACAGTTTAATAATAGAAGTAAATAAAATTGTTAAAGGATACAGTTAAAGGATACTAGCTACTGACCTAATTGATATGCAGTATTTTTCAATGCCTGTGACACTAAAAAGCAAGCCTTTGCTACAGCCTATTCTGTTGTTAACAGACAGGCTACATTAACCACAACCATTTTCAGTTATTGGCATCAATAAGTAACAGGAGAGGTGCTCAAAGTAACTTTTTCATGCTCTACAAAGTAAAATTTGAAAAGACTTGATACTTCGAGCAGACTAATACCTAAATTGCCCAGTAACTGATGTGGAAACACTTTATACATATGAGTAAACAATTACAAGGTTTTTAGAGTAATTCATAAAAGCATTTGGAAGGCATTGCATTTATGATCAATCCAAACAACATGTTATAAACAGTTTAAAAGTTACCTATATAAAGGGAGGACTTGTGTTTTGGGACACTATCATCAATAAAAGCTGTTCCCAAAGTATATAGCGGAGTTCCTCCAACTCCCAGCAGCAGCTGTCCCAGAATGAAGACATACATATACTTATGATGCAAAGACTTTGTGCTGGCATTGCAAGTTACATTAGCAGACATGGCTTCTGGAGCTTGACATGTGTCTGAAAAACAGAGACAACAAGACTTTACGATTCTGATACTCAGCTCATCACAGTCCAGCTGAAGAAAAACCTGTACTGAAAGCTAAACTACAAATGAAGCGCTGTTATGTCAGGCTCCCACTTCAATTTTCACACCTTTTAAGGTATCCTATCTGGCAGAGCCAAAGTTTATATCCCACAAAAGAAATACTGTTATGGCTTGGTTCTTGTTTCCTCACCAGGAAGGTAAGATAAATGAAACAGCCTTATTAAAATGCTTTGCCTTGTTGAAAGCACTACTTAGCAGATTTATGGGGAAAAAAATTTGACAGAGCAGCCTAAACAACCTAGTGAAAGTTGGACTGCTAGAAAGTGCAGTCAGTCACTAGCAAAAATAGCCCTCCCTTCTCATTCACTCTTTTGAGAAATGTTTCCCTAGGAAAAAAGAAAACCCACCTTGAAAACCTACACCACTATCTCTCATAGAGCACACACACTGCCACCTCTCCAGAACAGGTAGTTAAGGTAAAGCCTCTGTACTTGTGCACACAAAGAGGAAAGCAGCGGTGCAGCAGCATAAGGTTGCGTCTGCTCCTGTAATGTTTGGTATGACAAGAAGGGAAGAGAAAAGAGGAACTGATGACAGGGAGTATATGTTCTCTTCCCCTTACTACCACTGCACTTTCAGTAATAGTGCCAAGTGACAAGATAAAAGAGAAGCATGGTTCTTTTTTTCCACAGAAGAGAATAAAACTCTAAGAAAGAAGATAAACTCATCAGTTTTGTGGGAATAAGCCACACTGAACAGATATATGAAAACATCCTTCAGATCCAACAAGCAGATTGATTCATTCACACTACTTCACCACAGAATTATTACATCTTTTTTTCTTCCTCAGGTCCTCTTACATTTGAAAAGATTTTTTTTACTTAAGCAAAGAAAGGGCAAGTTCAATCCACACTCTGGGCTCACAAAATGAAGTACAAGGAAGTCCTTGCCACACAGCAGGTATTCAACCAAACTGTCTACACTGCTGTTATAGATACATGCACGGGCTTTATCATTACTCCCTGTAGCTCACAACAGGTGATACAGTGCTGTTGCACAGAAACAGGACAACATATGGGATAACAAACATCAAGAGGAGGAGTCAAAGTTTTTCGTCCTTTTCACTTAAGAAGAATCCTAGGTAATCTGTCCCAGTGTTTGACTGTCTTCACAATAAAATTATCTTCGTAGTGTCAAGCGAAAAACTACTATTCACATTTGCTATGGGAGACATATCGAAACAATTAAATTTTTAAAATAAAACCCGAGGTAGAAGTTTAAAGGTGCACTGCTTATAGCACCTGCAGTTTTCACAGTCCCCTCTGCCATTTCTGGTTAATCAAAGTTGGCTGATTCCGCTATGGACACACCACCAGGTGGAGCCCCTGACTGAGGCACCGGCGACTCTGCAATCTGGAAAAGTTATCAGAACAAACAGCTGGTCACACCTAGGCTACACATCGGAGTCTGAAGCTTCTGGGGATTAGAAAATAAATGTTTGCTGTGGCTAAAAAGTTTTAATAATTGGGCGACCATTCATTAATAACTTTTTCAATATGAAATTTAACTACTTCTAGAAAGTGGTATTAAGATAAATAAACATCAAATAGTTTTGTAGAGTAGGATATGTATATACTCAGAATAAAAGCAAAGTAATGTCTCAAGGTAAAACATTAAGTTTCACCAAGTCTGTAAGCCTTATACAGTAGGTTATATATATTTTGTATTCCAGACAAGATCTATTTATTAACCTGACGGTCAAATTAAAAATTACATTGAACTGTACTTGAAATTATCCTGCAGGTAAAAACTCTCTGTAGTGGCATAAAGCAGCTAAACATAAATAATCAAGTAACCAATTAGTAAAAAGAGCTGTTCAGAAATAAATTAGATAGTAGATTTTAATACAAAGCATCAAATAAAAGTTTTATAGAAACTTTTTTTTAACTACTCATTCAAACAAACAATCAAAACGGAAGGTTTTGAGGGTGTGGTGCTAATAAATTCCACAACCAATTGTATAGTTAAGATGCTTCATCAACATCAGAACTAGCTAAACCAGACATCCCATGATCCTGTACTTGTCAGTTAAAGGATGCCATTGCACAGCGCCTGAAGGTTTATGTTGACTCTGTCACAGTGCATTCCCTACATTTAGTCATTTATCTTTGATAGTGTTTTGTTTAAGTAGCTTAAGTTCTTAAATCTCTCACCACAGTCACAGCATAGGCACCTGCATTACAACAGTCAAAACAGCAGGAATGTTGTCAGCTGAAAATGCCATGGTGGAGACACATGCCTTTTGAAATGTAGAATTGGTGGGGAACTTTTAAAAGTCCATGTAGAACATCTCCCTAATAAGGTATCAACATGTACATCCATATTCAATGGGAATGTTTGATCAAACAGTAACGTATTCTTTGAGATTTCAACTGCATTTTGAAAGGAGAGATCAGATGGGATAGTTGGTCTTTTCTCTCACACTGTCAGTATCATGCTTTAATTAAAAAGAAAAAACTGCAATCAGGTTGAAACTTATATATCAAATTCAGATCCCTTCCATACTACAGTGAAGGAGGAAGTACAATACTGAAACCAAAATTGTAGAGAAATGGGACTGTAACAGAGCCAGGAGCAAGTAACCTGTTTTCCCTCTATTAAAAGGCAGCAAATAATCATCTGCTCACAGTCCTCAAACACTAAAGACTCTTTTCTTTTGGACTTGTTCAGTTAAAAGTTCAATTAATTTCCATTTCAGATCCTCATTTATTAGATAGGGGAAAACAGCTTGCCAAACTTGTTTAACTAATGTCTGGACAGCTCATGCAAGTGTATGACATGATCAACACTAAAGAAATTAATTTGAGAATCAAATCTTTCATCAGGTTGCTTAACAGCTACTGATTTTTTTAAGTGAGCACTCTAGTATGCTTAGTCATTGGAGGCGTAAATCTGATTGAACATTGCAATAACAATTAAGTCATCCTGCTTTAAACATATCTGAACATTTCTGTATTAGTTACAGGTGTGCCACTGAGTTGCAATACAAACCACACTGCACTAATCACACTGCACTGAAGTCTTTTATGAGAAAAGTTATGTAAGAACTGAGATCTCACTACTCCCATGATTTAAATACTGCTTTGTTCAGTACAGTACTGCCTCTTATCTCCATTTCAAATAAATCCACAAGTTTTAATCAACATCTTTTAAAAGAACTTAAAGAAACTTGTTAATGAACAAATCAAGATGCCTTTAATGGTTCAAAACCCCAGAGAACTGCAAAAAGTAGTCACCTTTCAACAAGATGGCAAGTCTAACTTTTTTGACTACAGTCAAAGCTTTACTTTGACACTTATTCTACATCACTGATCTAACTTGATTCCAATTCACAAATAGATGCCAGACACTTTTCTTTAAAGTGAATTTTAATTGCATATAACAGTGCAAGCAAAAAAAAGGCATTTTATTCAAATGCTGCTAATGAACAAGAACCAGTATTAACACTCAGATCACTTCTGTTCAACAAAGTTCACGGTGCAGAGTTCTGTAAGTTCTTGAACTTACAGATTCACAGAATCATTACTTTCAGTGTCACCAATAGTAGTCTATTTTAGGATTTTAACAGAGAATAATTACATTGTACCAAATTAAGAGTTGCACCAAGTCACTACAGAGATTCTTTTTGTGTCTGTGTGTAACAAAGATAAGCTTACCTTCAGGTTTAGCTCCATAATGGTATTTTCCAACACTGAAGTGTGGTAAGCAAAACACAAGGGAGCCCAGTCCTAGCATAAATGCTGAGAAAGCAAGCCATCGTGGTTTGTGCCCTCTTTCTCCGAAGAAAGATACAAACAGTGACAACATGCAAAAAGAAATGTCATAGCTTGCAGAGATCAAGCCAGTCAGGGAACTGTTCAACTCATAACGCTTCTCAATTGTTGAAATACTAATGTTAACCAGGCCATTTACCACAATACCTACAAAAATAAAAAAAAAAAAAAGGAGATAATTAGTCAAAGATACATTAATTTAATAGCACTGCAAGGGTAAACTTACCATTGTGTGATGGAAAGGTTAAAATTAATATATTTAGAAAGCTCCTTTCTAAGTTATTTCTTAGTTTTAAAATCTAGGTATATAGTAGATCAACACAGTGCCAGTTTAAGCCAGCAAAATTGCACAGGACCTATTCAATTTCATTCCCCTGTGGACACTCAATTATTAAGCCATATACCATGCCTCAAACTCTTTTCATGTATTAAGGTTCCAGATTCTGTTTGAAGCACAGATTCCAAACAGAATGCATTATAGCATAATAAGATACAGTACAAGTTAAAAAGAAATTAGTTAAGGTTATGGTTTGCACTAGAATACAAGCTATGACTGAAGTAAGTTCAGGACATAGGTTTCAAAATATTGTCAAAAAACATGAATTTCCTCCTGCCACCACAAGGGAAGATATAAGAAGGCTTTTGAATAGACATACTTCCTCTATAATTGAAAAAAAAAGCTATTTAAAAATATTTCAGAACTGTTCCAGAGCAACTGAGATGATTTACTTTAACTGAGAGAGAGAGAAAAAAAAAAAAAAAAAAAAAAAAAAAAAAAAAAAAAAAAAAAAAAAAAAAAAAAAAAAAAAAAAAAAAAAAAAAAAAAAAAAAAAAAAAAAAAAAAAAAAAAAAAAAAAAAAAAAAAAAAAAGAGTTGGTCCTCTTAATCTTATAGTTCCCAGAAGCAAAAGTATGGAATGACCCAGAAAAAAAGGGATTGCACAAGCTGCCCTGCTGAAGCACAAATGAACCACAAAAAAATAAAAAGTATTCAAAAGTAGAAGCCAGGAAGCTGCAACTGCTAGTGCATGTTCTTTTCTACAAACCCACTGTCTGTAGATTCTAACTTGAATCTCCCATCCTGCTTCATATTCTGTTTCTATGTGAAACACCAGGTAGTTAAACTTTCAGGATTTTGCTTTTAACAAAACAGGATTATATTACAAGAGAGAGTAATAGCAGTACTGCTTAACAGTGTTAGACAACTTCATCACAGTCTAATTAAACTGTGTCCCTAATACAATATACACCTGAAACAAAAGTTAGGAAGTTTTGGACTCACAGTTGCAAATAAGTTTGAGTTACATAACCTCAGAGATGACTGACGAGCCTCTCTCATGACACAGGCCTTACAGTTATTCTTGCCCGTTCTAAAATTCAAACATGATTCTCTATTGTCATTCTACAACCAGAACAGAAGGAATTGTGACAGCAATAGACGTAAGTTACTTTTCAGCAAGCATTGTACCATCCAGAAATACAACTATTGAGGCAAAATTTCAACATCTTAGAGTGTTCCAACACACTGAAAAACATTTCTTCAAATCAGCCAGCTGTTTTCTAATCCCCACCACAGGCAAACATTTCAGCTTTCTATAAGGAGGCAGCTCTTGGCACAATCTTAATTCCAATACCCTACCTATGGCTTCTTTATTTAAAGGTTGACTATTCTACCTATCAGTCAATAACAGAAGTACTACAGTGTTCCTCCACTGCCATTGGTTATACATTTGGCAACTTTTTCCTATTAAGGAGCACTTAGCATAGAACAATAATAGCATGAAGGAATGAACAAACAACTTTTTCCCCTATTTGCCAGCACCTCAAACATTTACTAAGGCCTTGAGACATTCATATGAAGCAAGTGTGCTACACAGCAAACGGATTACAGAGCTAGAAGGCATTGTCTTTTACTGTAATTTAAGTCATCACCTTCAATTTGCATCCTAAAAGCCATAAAACCTTGTAGTTAATTTTACTGGATAATTAGATTTCATCTGTAAAAACACAGATGTGATAAAAGGCAGCCTAACTCCTCCAATGCCATCATCTCGTACCTAATCTCCAAAGTCTCTTCAGAAAAGATGGAACCTGGCTGATACTTGATCTGAAAAACAAGTTCTGCAGGGACATCTCAACATTTAAAATCATAGTATAGAAACTATTTTTCAAGTCTTCTAAACCAAAACCTTATTCTCCCACCACATCTGTTAGAGATTTAGGTTCAGTGGGTACTGACCCATAAAATCCAGATTAATTATAAACCAACCTAATTTGCTCTAGTAAAACACGAGTATTTTTCCTTTATCCTTTCTTAAAAAAAAAGAAAAACAAAACAAAACAAAAAAAAAAACAAAACAAAACAAAAAAAAAAAACACCACCACCCTGCTCTGCAGTTATAAGCACGGTGGCTTTAATATAGTGGTCTACAGGTACACAAAAAAAATGAAAAGGCCTAATCAGCCTATTTGTGCTATTCCAATTTTTTAGACATATTAGAATGAACCAGTGTCAAACAGCAGTTCTGTTGTTTGTTTAATAAAAATTACTCACACAAGGAATAAACAGTCCTTCTTGTAGTCAAAATAGTGAGATAACTTCTACCTTGTTTGCTACTACTGCTATGAATTGCAGCACATCCAGTTACTGTATTACAAGATCCAACATATATTTATGCAACTCCAAGTGCTGTACAGAAAGCAGGTATTAGTCATGCAACAACATTCTACACAAAGTGTTTTCTATTCTGGAAATACAGGTTTCATACATACTTGAAACAGAAACAGCTAGAAATTACAAGTTCCATCTGGAATCTTCTGAGAAGCTGAAATACAGCATATCAGGTGCTAACAGTAATCTCTTTTCTAAAGCAGCTAGAAAACAACCTGATAAATACATGCTTTCAGTTAGATACACCCAGAAATCTACACACATGTACCAGGTCACTGCAGATAATCACCCACTATCTTCACTCATATAAAAAGACTAGAATAACAACTTACATTCATCAAAAGCGTGTTACAGATTACTTCATTAATCTTCAATACTATAAGTATTGAAGATTAAGTACCTAATCTTTTCTAGAGGTGTACCAGGAAGTTTAACACATATTTTTTATGTTCCTCAGTCATTGTTTCTGTAATCTGGAGGGTAAGTCAAATAATTAGACCCAAAACCACCACACAGCATTAGCTCACATAACTTCAAAATTCCAGTTGTATTTTCTATGCTCTTATCTTAAGACTGAAGCTATGGACCTGAATGTTTTCACAAAGCTTCACACACAGCACTGAATTTCTTGCTGATAATGACTCTTGTTTTTTCTTGCATCTCAAAAAGAAATGCAGCTCAAGTCTTTAGAACCCAATTTCCTTTCTTTGTTCTAACCAAAGGCTCTTGTTCAGAAAACCCAGGTAACATCAAGGATGCCACAAGACCTGTGATAGTCACACTTACATCAACTTCCAAAACCAACATCAGAGGTTTCCTTACATTAAAGGCCCTTAACTTGAACTATATTAGTTACCTGGCACACATATAAAGTTAGATAACAGGGCCAAGAGCTGGATAAGCAGCACAACCAACACTTATGCCTTCTTAAGGGGACAGAGATTCTTATGATACAAGATGTTTTTATGAATGCCAAACTACCCAGACTACTAACAAGAGAAAAACTTTAAATGACACAGACTTCATTATTCAGCTCAGCAACCAGATCACAACAGCAAACCAGATCTGAAGAAATTTAGAAGTGCTGAAAATATTCGAGCCACTTGGTTTAGTACTCTTAAGCCACTCAAAAAAAGATAGATGTGTATTCTAAAAGTCACCTACTCAGCTGCCATTGAAATCTGCTATGTAAAAACTTCTTCCACCTTTCCCTTTCTTTTTATTCATGAAGAAAATAAATTTGAGCTAACAGCAGAATAACTGTAACAATAATCACATCCTGATCCTACCAGCTGTAGCAAGACTTTTCAAATCCAAGTAAGGAAAAACAGGCTCTGGCCAAAACTCTCTAGATACTCTCTTTCCAGCACAAAACTTGTATGCTAAGATTAGATTCTGAACAGGTTGAAATCAGAAGAAGTTCACAGAAACATATACTGAGAGACACTGGTTCCTTCAAGGACTTTCCAAGCAACACAAATACCATTGAAATCCTTCTATGCTTTAAGCAGTGCTGTTCAGTGCTCCACATATCATCCCAGATATCTCTGTGTGGTTCCAGGCAGGAACGCAGCCATCCATATCCCACATATCTTCAGTGCAGACGGCCTGTAGCACCAAATCTCCAACATCTCCCTTCACCCTTATACAGCAGTGTTAATTTTTAGGAGCAACAACAATGAGCTTTAAATCCTCATATTTTTTCAGGAAACACATTTTTGTTTCTAACTAGCCCAATAAAATTTAAGGGTTATGAACATTAATCAAATAGCTCAATTTGAAGGACAAATATTCAAGCTTTACAAATCTCAAGACTACATATTTGGTACACTGATGTTTCCCCTCCAACCACTCACTACTACTACTTTCTAAGCCTCAGACTTGGTAAGGCCCTAATAAATCTTTTTACAGAAAACCAAAACTATGGACAAGAAGTTCTGAAGCTCAACAGCAGAAATTTAGAACAAGCTAAACTTCAGGTTTCCCCCACAATCAAGTTAAACCATTAGTTTAGTTTTGGGAAGACGGCTTCACTGGGATTCACAAAACAAGAAGAGATTGTTACTTGTTTGTTTTCAAAGCCATCCTAATTACCCAAAGTCCTAACCAACCATGCCAAGATACTGTTTTACTTAGCAGACAAGTAACAAAGTAATGCTCGAGTACTACAGTTTTGTCAACTGGTTTATATTGGTGTTTTATTCCCTGGCTTCTAAATCCAACCCATAAGTGAACGTGAAATGTGACCAATGCGGACGCAGCACTGACAAGAGCATAAGCACAAATCTGGTGGGACCATAGACTCAGCAGTGGCCAGCAACGTAGGTAGGAAAAGAAGAAGCGGCAGAACAGAGTGAAGTAGAAAGAGTACCACTGTACGAGCAACTTCCCTATCCAAGGCACTACTTTACTTTCTTCCCCTAGTAAAGCCATTACCATCCCTAGAGGAACTCTGCCTCTCCTTACCCACTGCCTAAAACATCATCACGCTTCTCCCACTTCCCCCAGCCCAGGCTCCCGGCAGGCTTCCCCCCAAGAAAAAGGAGCAGCAGAAGGGGTGCCCCGGGCAGCAGTGGCCCCCGGGGACGGGTTACCTTGGAAGGTGGCCAGCAGGCTGTACACAGCCAGGTAGCCCTCGGGGTTGTTGCAGAGCTGCAGAGCCTCCGGGGTGCAGCCGCCCCACCCGCAGGGCCCCTCCTCAAAGTCGAGATCGGAGGGAGAAGGGGCATGGGCATGGGCACGGGCGCGGGCACTGGCATCGGAGCCGGCGGGGCTCCAGGAGCGCTGGCGGCCGAAGCTGGGGCTGGGAGTCTCGAACGCCGCGTTCTCGATGCCGCCAGTCATGGCGCCCGAGGCCGTTGCCACCCCCGACTGCGAGCGGCACCCGCGCCCAACGCTCCGCACCTAAATACCGGGGGGGCCGGGCCGGCCTGGGCCGGGCCAAGCGCAGCACGGCGGGGCCGAGCCCAGACGGCAAGGGCAGGGCCGGCCCCGCCCCGCAGGGCAGGTGGTGGCACCGCCCCGCCCCGCCCCGCCCCGCCTGGCCCCGCCACGGCCCGGCCGCCTCGGCCGCTCACTGAGGGAGGTCTGCCGCACCGACAGCCCCGCAACACCGGCAGCCCTCAGCGACCCACACCAAGGTGGGGCGGGTCAATGTGGGGCACCCACAGGGCCGTGTCATTCAGCAGCATTCGTTCTGTGCGGGGGGTGGGGGCGAGAATTTAAAAAAGTCGTCACGAAAGTTTCTTTCTGGAAAAGAAAAAAAAAAAAAAAATCGACATGTCCTTACGTAAGTGTTGCAAAAAGGGAAAGATTGCAAAATGGACCAGATACGGTGCTTTCCCACTTTATGCAACGTGAGTCGCCCACAGCAAAAACCCTGGACATTTGTGGATGTCATCCTTTGGAAATATTTATTCCCTTCCTTTACCACTAAAAGTTTCCACGTTCAGCAGTTCCCAGTCATTGAACTCATTAATTCAGCTGCGGACACCAATCATGAGAATTTGTCAAGTGTATAAGAAAGACCAAATTTGTTTGCATATAGTGTAAGTTATTTGACTCATCTTCACAAGAGCAGCTGGGAGGGAATCTGGGCGTCGATCAGCTGTTCACCGCTGGTATTCATCTCTGGGCAGCACAAGTTAGTCCTGAAAAGTAATTCCCCTTTTAAAAGTGATTTACATTTTAGAGACAAGTGAAACAAGATTGAAACTAGAGATATCATCAGTGACCTTGGCTTAACAGTGAAAGCCAGGGCATCCTCTTCAATTCTCAGCCATCTGCTCCCAGGAGAGAAGCACACATTTTCAAGTACACATTAGCAGCACAGAAACATCATGCAGATGACTATCTGTACAAGATAACAAGTAACTTAGACAAGAGAATATGTGGCTATTTATTCTTATAGATAAATTGCAAAGGTGAAATCAGTGCTTCTGGTTCTTCTGCCACATCTTGCAGAGGCAGTGGGTGATGGCTAGAGACAGAGGGCCATGGAATCCCCTGGCAGCTGGGCTTTTCTCATGCTCCCTCCTTGGCCACCACAGGGTCTCTTCAGGTGCTACCCCATCCCCACAGACAGCAGGGACCTTCCCAAGCCCACAAGAGCTCAGATAGCTGTTCTCCAGTGAAGCATTCATCTGCTCGTCACTGATGATGCCCAAACCCTGAAATTAGCTTATTATCATTTCAGGTTATAGTCTGGAATGGTTTTTGCTCTGCTGGTTATCAAGATATATCCCAGTTAAGAACTTTGTGAGAAGTCTAAGGATATGCTTGAATCAGCTGGCACACTAGTTTGTTTCAGAAAGACTATATAAGTACAGTTCTCTTTTTTTGTCTGCACTTAATTGATTGATTTTTCATCCTCCTAATTAAAATAAAGTAAGACATGTCATCTAAAATGATACGTTGATCTTTGCTAGAGTGCTTACGTGCTAGAGTAGTAAGAATAATCCATGAAATTGCTAAATTACCATACTGCTAATGATACCCGAAAACCTCCCTTGATCTGCCAGATCAGCTAGGTTTTTTGTTGTCTTCATCTAGTGGTCAGCTAGTGGTTTTGGTTTTATCACCACAGGAAGGTGACAGAACAGAAGGGAAAAAGAGAAGTGAGTGGAGCTCACTATGAAAAGTAATATGTTCAGATGAAGTCAACATTTTTGAGGAAATCAGTGAGGGTAGCATTGTGGTGTCCCGTTGTACCAGGTTCGCAAGGATACATGTCCAGAGTAAAGACAAGTACAACAGTCATTCAAACACTACAAAACATCTTTTATTGCAGTGAGAGTTAAAAACAAAACTATTAGCAAAGAGAATCAAAAGCTAAAAAGAGTACAAACAAACTACTTTATCTATTGGCATTCATACAATACTACGAATAGCCTCTATTAAAAGTGTTAGTTAGCACAAGGGGAATTAAAGGGATACAATATTAGCTAGTAAAAAGCGAATTAAAGGGATACAAGAAAAAAAGGATATAAAGTGTTTGCTTTCTCAGTTGCTCCCTATCAATAAACTGTGCTTACCTACACAGACAGGCCAGGGCTGCCAGGATCTGCAGCGGCTGGTCAGCACTCATGCTTAGCGGGCGTCCCTGCGGAGCAACACAGTCTCAATGGAAGGATGAGTATCGCTCCACCCAGCAGTCCATTTTGTCAGCTCTACATTACACTACGTAGGGCCAGTACGTAGTATAAGGTGATGCTTGAGTGGTAGCCAAACACCACCTATTCATTACTTCATGGCAACAGTCTGCGCATGCCCTACTGTAGGGCAAGGGGGCGAACGACATCATCTTCCTCTCTCCGTCACCTTCCTCACCCCTATGTATGACCTCTACCATTGTGTTTCAAGGGTATTTGTATCTATCTTGCAGAATGTAGCCAAGCCAAGGAGGAACTCAGCTATGATAATAAGAGACATCTAGTTGACTTTGCTGAAAGTACAATGGGCCTTACAGTCAACTTGTGCAATAAAGCTACATTGTACAATACTCTGGCTAGTTTCACATGCCAGTACAACTACTTTCTCACCCCTCTATGCTCCACTGATCATCTAAGTCAAAATTATCCCCCTTACACCGGTATAGGCCTAGTATGGGCATTAATTATTATTAATTAGTATTCCTAGTATGGGAATTGAATAATCCAGGAAATTCAATAGGAGTGAACTCTTGAGAATTTATGTCATGCTAGAAGAATACAGATTTTAGGAGAAAGCCACAGGGACAGAGAGAGAGATAGGGAATAAAATATGATGTATTTTTGCACTGGTTATGTCCCCAAAAGCAATTTACAGAGAAATGCAGTAGATTCAACCAGGTTTTATAAACTGCTTTACTCTGAGACCATACTTAAAGCTATTACAGAAGTTCCTGACAATTCAAGACTGGTTACAAAATCTACCTGAAAATGGCAAAATATAATTGGTTTCTGGGAAAGTATCTAGAGTGCTCACATAACAAATGGTAATAGACTCTGAGGTGAATAATCTGTTTAACTAGGCTGACAATGCCCATGAAAAAGGCAAAAATATAAGCAATTTATGTGTATATTAAGACCAGAGATACCTGCTAAGGTTGTTCTACAAGCTGTTATCCTCCATTCTGTGTGGCGCTTGTATCCTCAGCTTCCCAGGAATAACTTTTAAAGGAGTAAAATGTGCAGAAAGATTACTAGTAAAGTTTGTTTTTTTAAAAAGAATTGAAAGAAACAAACTGTTTCAATTTAGCAAAGTGAAGTGCTCTGTGAAATACACAACCAGGAAAAAGAAAAAAGGCAACTGAAGATTTCAGAACAAATGAGCAAACTGACAACAATAATTTTCTTGTAAAGTTAGAAGGCTTATAATCTTCAGTAGAAGTGTGTTTTGGAACCAATTAGTAATGAATGTAGCGAATTCTAAAGTTTTAGATAGAGTTATGACTAGGATAAAGACATGGGAACTGATCAACTGGGAAGTCCCTTTGTGATCCAAAGTGTAAAGTGGGAATGGAAACTATATTCTAGGGGGGCAAAAAGGATGTTTAAGTCAAAATAACATCATAAAATTAATACTGGAACACCTTGTGGAGGCGCCAATAAATATAAAAAAAAAATTGCTTATTTGTGGAAGAATTCTAAAATTTAGCCACCTTCTAAATTTACATTGTTGTGTTTGATTACTTACAGCTTCTGCAGTCTCACACATCATAGGAGTTCTCCTGTTGTGTAGTTTCATGGTGTGTCACATTTTTGTAATCATGGGACTACTAAATAATACTTATGGGCTTGTTTAAGAAGTAGACCTGCATTTTGCAGTCCAAGAACTGCCATTCTCTGAATTTCAAAAGGAATTGAGAAAATTATGACTATAATGACTTATCATCAGATAAGGCAGATAGGGAAAAAATGAATATTCAAAACATTTTTTTTTCAAGAATCTCACAGCCACCCCCTCTCATATAAAGGTGAAGTGGTGCACAGACCCACTCTCACATTGCAAGATTATCTTTCCAGAAACGTGGCATAACATTTTGTCAGTACAGTATTCCCTTTGACTCTCACATCTATAAGATGCAAAGTAGATTACCTGAGATCCTTAGAACACAATTTCCAGGAAGCTTTTCAGTGTTTTCCGAAAGTTTCAGACCTCAAATACTTGCATAACTTTGTGATACCCTGACACTGAGTAAAATCCCTCATCTGTGGATTATTTTACATCAACTGTGTAACCTCTCTCTACACATAATTTTCTGTCATTTGACCTCCATCAGAATTCATGCAAAGGAAGCTGTGAAAAAAGGGTGCTACCTTTTTTTTTTTTTGAATGAAGAATCTTCTTTTGCATCTGTGTTTTTTTTCCAATTAAGAAAATTGATCTTGAGTTTTTATACACTTTGTGGTATTTCAAGGTGCATTAACACCTCCACCAAGTGTATTTTCCTGTTCTGAACAGGCATGTGGAATGGATAATGTTAGCAACCAGAGAGAGTCAGAATAAAATACAAATGAGCCTGTCTCACTGGCTTGTAAAACCAGGAGTTTAATATGTTAGTTATCTTTTCTCTTTACTATCTTCATTCTTTTATATTATTAGTAAAATCTTAATCCCATTCCAATCCTGATAATGTGTTTGTTTGGGAAACAATGTAAAAACTACAATTTGATTGCCTGTATGAAGTTTTCTACTTATCTGTGTAAAAATTATCTGGTTTTCTTTCCTTTTGAACACTCTTATTATTTTAAAGTGAACAAAGCAAACCTACAGCTATGTACTCTTCTGCTGTAATATCTAACTAGCTCAAGGTACCTCCAAATTACATTGTCTCAGGGTAATCATGTGCTGCTTGTTTAGCATTTTGTATTTATGTGAATTATGGTAATGTGGTTCTTAATTTGCCCTGTGT